GGCAGCCACTTTTTTTTTTTTTTTTTACCAGTGAGGAAATCCAATATAAATTAGCAGGAGACCTTGACTTCCTGGGAAGGTTGCCCTCCTATTAGCAAAGGTATAAATTCAAGTAGAAAACGACAACCTTTTCATAGCTACTTATTTCACAACAGGAGTGGCCTCCTTTGGTTCACCTCAAATACACAGGGAACACGTTTACATTAAACTGAAAACTGCCTGCTACACTGAAATAGAGATGTTCACACAGGGGTTTGCACTGAATTAAGTTAAGTGTACCTGGTAAAAGTCCCCCATGTAGAGGAAGGCAAAATGACTTGCATAAAACCAAACAGGAAGTTTCTGACTGGGCCAAAAGCAGAATTCAGCTCTTCTGAGTCCCAATCCAGTGCCCTACTGTGTTAGATTATTTTTTTCTACCCTATACATGCTTGCAGGGGGACTGCTAACTCCCCAGTGATGCTCACCCCTCCCCTGTAGGAGACACTGGAATAGAGGGTGTTTTTACCTATGACCAGTTCAGGGAGATATGCTCTCTGCTCAGAGAGGCTTCTTTTTCCTGTATCCAGTACTCTACAGTGTACACTATCCAATATTCCACCTTTTCATCTGGGCCACACTTGCTCATATGCTCACATATATTATATGTAGGTAGGTATTTCTTAACGGACATAAAAAAAAATGAAGAAAAAAGACTCATGCTCCACAGATGAAAAAGTCGTCTTTGCAGATGCAAACAAGAGTCATAGACATTCTTTCACACGGTGACATCAGCTTGCCTGTTCTTACCTTTCAAGTCAGCATCATTACGTAAGGATTGGTCTCATATGTAAGAAATGCCTCATCCCTAAATGCCTAAAAATAACCCTTGGGATATATGAGCAGCTGAAAAATCCATTTCATTTGCACCAAGCTGGAGATGCACAGAGCAATTTGCATTTCGAAAGCTGAAAACCCAGCAGTTTCAAGTAACTCTGCATTACAGGGAACAAGGCCACCATCCTGGTTAGCAGCTAGAGTTCAGATATACAAAAGAAAAACAACAGTCTGCATGGTCCTCAGAACTCAGTTTTAATCAGTGCAGATTGGACACTAGGTGAGAACATGCTGCACACAGGGCAACAGAGAATGGTGCAGAAAAAAAATTACGTCCACATAAAAAAGGTAACAGAGGTCCCAGCCCTATTTTCTGCTGGGTTACTCCACTCTGTGGAAAATGAGGAAGCAAAGCGTAAATTGGACTCACATTAAGCTGTAGGTCATCTGTCCACTGGCCAACCAGACGATAACCTGGGGCGGTGGTGTTTGTTGTGTGGTACTGAAAGATGTCGTAGCGCCCTGGCGCATCCCCGTTTTTATTAAACATCACTGGAGTGCCAGCACTGCCTGAGGAAGGAAGCGAGACAGACAGACAAACAAACAAACAAAATGCCAAAGCTTTACAATACTCGTTTCATTTGTTTGGTCGTGGCTGGAAGCTCTCGGACTGGCATCACAGCTCAGGCAGAGGCCATCCATCATTACAGAAGTGTAAACAGGCACTTTAGGACACCATAGGACACCATTTGGGACAGTGTCATAATCCTATCCCTCTTTCTGTGATTAACTAGCAAGACCTATAGCCTCTGGCTTAAAAGAAAAAAAAAAGCCCATAAAATAACATCTGCCTTCACTCTCACCCTGCACACAGCAAGAAAGATGAGAAGAGCTTTGCTTTTGCCCTCTCTTTCCCCCCTCTCTCTGCGCTAAGGGAGTTGGTTAGTGAAAACCAGACCTGTGAATGGAACTTCTAAGTGATTCCCCTCCACCCCCTCCAAAAATATTCCATCTGCTTCTGAGAGATACTGCCGTCAGAAGACGGCCCAGGTCTTGTGAGTCTTGACGGGCATCCAGAAATAGCTCCCTCCTCCACAATATGTTCTTATTCCAGTAATCAGCATGCAGTTGGGATGGAAAAGAGCAGAGCAAACTATAGGGAAACTGCTTATAATCTTTCCTTGTCCTCTCCCTCGTTCAGACTCAAGGACATTGATACCTGCTGTTTTCAGGTAGCCTTGTCATGAACAGCTTTGGGACGGATTCTGGACCCACTCCTGTGACTTATATTAGGTAGAGGAACTTGGTAGAGTCATAGCACCAGAGCTACAGAGCCCAGAACTCGCTTGATGCATCGGGGGGCCAAAGTGCAACGTGCTCAACCATGTTTACTGCTGTTAAGATCCAGAATGGAGGCCTGGTACAGCCTGCTTGCTAGTTGCATCATTTATTTTACATGTCCTATGGTCTGACCATGCAGCCCTTAGTCAGCTCTGGGTAAACATTAGATAAGCCTCCCTCTTTGTTGGGCAGTGGGGTTGACCACCAGCCCTCTTAGCACATCCATTGCCAGTACATAAAAGGGGGAAACTAGACACATTTCATATGATAGGGAGATGACAGACTGAATTTTGGTGCCTTTTATTACATCAAAGATGATTTATTGGAAAGAAAACTCTAGCCAGGAAATCTGCAGTCTAGATAGTAGCACTAATTCAGATGCAAGGCTCCTTCTTACATGGGTATTCAAAGAGACATATTTTTTTTATATAGGACTAGGGGAAAAATCTCAAAGACAGTATTTATTTCAAGATGCATAAAAATACAATTCAGTGGGGTACACCGACATTGTGTCAAGACTGAAGATCATGACAATGCACTAGTATATCTATATTCAAAATTTCCTCCTACTACAGAACTTTTTTCCCCCTGAAGCAATGAAAAAATCTATCCTGTTGTAGCGCTGAGCTTTAGTTATGGCTTTCTTCAGAATTCCCATTCTTCATTGAATCCCAGTATGTGAAAGAAGATTTGAAGGAGTGAATTAGCATAGTTTCCAAATTCTAACCCTGGTAAATTATTTCTCGTCTATTCTACAGTTCCTCCGAGATCAGACATAGATTAAGTTCAAAGGCTGGTACAGAAAATCTTCCACTAAAATCTCTCTTTTCTTGCCCCCTCTGGGTGCTTCGTAGATATTTAATTGTCATTCTAGATTAATGCAGCCAGAATACATTTACAGTGGGAAAACATTTCTTAGGTGAAGGAGGAGGAGGGGTTACAATTCCTAGGCTCCTTCTGAAAGCCACCACAAGCAGTAAATCACCAGACTAACATGACTATCTCTCTACAAACAGGAAATGTGATTCATCATGACTTTTAAGAGTGTGTATCATTAGCAAACTATGCTTTGTCACAGCTGACAAAGGATTGGATCTAGGAAGCTGTTTGCCTTGGGTGGTGGCAGCAGCAGTGGAAGGGCCAGCAGCGGTTGGCACGCTTGCACTGACTCTTAGTCGGCACCTGGATCTAGTCCTTTACTTGTGGTCTCCCCCCACCCACCCCCACATACACTATGGTAATTCAAATGGATCTGGACTTCCAGAAGGCATCATCAACCTTTGTAGTTATAGTCATCGGACCCAATCAAAGGAACAACATGTACATGAACAAATGGATGGTTTTTTACACACTAAGGGGAAGATTCATAGCCAATGCAAATGATCCTGGCTCCAATTAAGTCAATTAAACCATGACATCTTGTATCACCTGAGGTTACACCCTGGAAATCAGGGAGTAATGCAGATAGCTAACTGACTGCACACAGACATCTACACTCAGGCATCTATATGCTCATTTTTTGCTTAAGTAGATGAGGGGTGAACTTGGTAAGTGGAACATTAGTGGTAAGATTAAAAGTTGCCTTAAAAAAAGGAAAGGATTTTTAAATGTTACATACCCAGATGAGCAGGATACCTGGTTTTTAAATGGCATCTAGAAATCAAATGATGGCAGCCCTGGTGAGAATGTGTCAGGGAGGGAGGGAGGCGGGGAGCCCTCACTATGTGCAGTAAGTAGCAAAGAAGTGGCAAATTTGAGTGCCTGCAGATAATAATGGCGATAGTGAGCCATTAACTCTACTGAAAGTATTCAACGCCTTCCGGACTATAGCCCTGTACAACAAACACAGCTTGCTGAGCTTGCTACGGAGAATGCTTATTGTTATGGGAGTACATATAAAAGAGGGATGTTGGTAGATGTGGAAATAGTCAATGTGCTAGTGGATGGTGGTCAGGAGTCTGCAGCTTCTGGGTTTTGCAAGAAAAATAAAACCTTCTGTTGTACCCTTCAGATGGCTTCCTCTGCGTAGCTGTTAAATACGTGCATCTCTCCTGCTCAACAGGAGTAGTAACTGCTGTTGGTGCTTACTCCCTGGGTCTCTGATTCAGGAAGGCACTTGAGACTGTGCTTCTAATTAAGCAGACACTAGAGTGCTTTTTCTGAATCTGGGGCTGGATGCATCATGCCCGCTCATGATTTCTATATGCATAATTCCTGCAGACATCATATCTGCCACTTCTCTACCTACACAGTGCTGTTTTAATCTCCTGAAGTGTCATGCACTATACTTCATGTCATAACTAATAACATCACTTAAATGTGATTACCTATTAATATGTGTTTACCTTTAAGTTACACTTTTCTTAAAATGTATTTGAATAGCATAAATGCATATCTGTTTTTTGTTTTGTTTTTTGTTTTTTTTACCAGGCATATCCTCATTTCTACTTTTAAATTTATTTGAAAATCTATACCCCACCACACACAAAATTGTGAGTGGCTTTCTTGGGGGGAGTGAGAGTAAGCTACTCAATATCTGCCAAATGGCAGACAGTTACGAGCATGTTGGATCCCACATAAAAAATACCTCTCTCTGGCCATGTCCAAACAAGCAGTGCCGGGGGGGGGCGGGGGGGACGGGGAGGGGTTACCCCTGGATATCCAGGGCTCAAAAAACCTGCAGGGAAAAAAAAGGTGGAGCAGTGCACGCTCAAAACTGGACCCTGGCTGCCCAGAGCCACACTCCAGCTGCCAGCCAAGCTTCAAGAGGCAGAATTGCCATTGCTGCAGCCCTGGGAAGATCCCAAGACCCCAGGTAAGGCTGCTGAGGTCAGCCCAGTGCTGGCCCCAGGCTCCCCTCCTCCACCCGGGGCAACTTGCCATTTGTTACAAGGTGTGCCACCACCAGTTGTCCTCGGGGAACCAAACGCCCACACTCACGTGGATGTGGCCCCTGAGTTGACTGGCTTTTTGAAAGTGGAGTAACTGGTTTGGCATAATAAATACAAATCCTCTGGTTTTTAGTCAGTTTTCAATCCTGATGGGTTTTGTGACTGCACGTTTTGGCGCACAGTGTCCATCATGTGACTTCTGGGGTGTGTTTTTAAACTGCTACAGCATTTTATTCTGTGTTCTCTTTCTGATTTCCTAATGCAAACTATAAAAATATCAAACAGGGGCATTTGCAAAACCTGCAGGCTGAAACATATTATTAATATTTGCCTAGCCAATGTGATGTATTATTTTTATTCTTCTTTTAATGATTATACCAGGTTAGCAGGATCTTTCTGGGTATTTAAAGCTGACATAAATTGAATTTTGTCCTCTTTCAGTAAATGTAGTGAGAATTAGTTTCTCCACATTGCCAAAAAGCAACTTAGAAACCTAGCAACATTCTCCTTCCTGTAGCTGCCTGAACATTCAGTGGTGCTCTGAAATATTAATTCACCTTCAGTTCCCAACGAATAAGTTATACTCTCACTAGACATGCTGTACATGATGCCTCTTCACATGAAGAACTCATTTGAAAAAAGACACGATTTATTTGATTTTGTAGGATTTCTGCCTCTTAATCACCACAAGAAACTCATCAAGAAGGGAACTGAATTAAAAAGAGAAGGGTAGGGTGCTTGATAAATGTGACTATCTAAGGTGTTTCTTTATGACTCAGTTCAGAGTCACTGCAGTTCTGACAAGGACCTGCAGAGTTCATGTAAAAAGCATCCCTCATTTTTTCAGGTCATCAGGAAAAAATACCATCACTGCACTGTGAGATTAATATTCAGAATCTCACTGCATCCGTTTTTTTCTGCTCTCAAGATTGTAAGACAATATTGGAATTCATACTGAGCTCCTACTACAAATTCACAGTCTCTACTCATTAAAAGATTGCTTGAGCTCTTGCTTCATGAACGTCATGATCTTTGTAGGGGAGGAAAGGAAAAAACTGAAGCAAGCAAAGGGAAGATGATTTTGTCTGCAGGGTTAAAAGTACATCTATTTGCACCCCTGCTATACAAATCAGGATCAGAAGATCATAGGCATAAGGTACATGAGAAGGCATTTCCTCCATTTATAATAGTGAAACAGGAATCATGTTACACTATTCTCTGTTTCCATTACAAACCTTATTACAGAAATGAGAGTGTGAGACTTAATGAGATATAAGCCAAATGGTAGCATTTAGCTAGTGACCCTCACAAGAGCAGTATAGAACTAAATTTCTCTAGGAAGAAGCCCCGGGACACACTAAGCAACTTAGGCTGTATCTCTTTGGACAGGGTTTCCCAACTGCTTCTTTTCTACCACCTTCGGGATATCAAACCACTAGAGGCATGCCTGGAGATGACTCCCCAAGCACAGGAAAATGCCATGCCACCTGTGAATGGGTTCCACACACTCTCCTCTTTGATTTCCTCATTCCTGTGCACTTGTCATAATCTTGCCTCAACATACTTATTTGGTGAACTGCAATAATGTGTAAGACATTCCCCACTCCTAAACCACAGGGTGGACTGAACTTGGTGACAGCAATTCTGACTACTCACCCTACCGCTCATGGCTCCGTGAGGCTGAGCAACTGAAGTTGGCTCACACAAATGACAAAACAAATGTGCAGCTCAAGCCATCCATCGCTTTTGCAGCTCAGACCCTTATGGTCTCAAAGGGGTATGTTTTAGAAGGAATGAGACATTCTTTATAGGAAGACAGGGTTCCCAAAATCCCTTCTGCAAAACCTGGGCCCACCCTGTTACTACTATGGATGTGCCTGTGATTACTTCTGACTCTGGTGAAAGAATGTTTTACACTTTTAACACATCTGCAATATTGTATATGAGGCAGAGGCTCAATGTGGAAAGCGAACAGGGCCCCCAGAATCTCACCAGAGCCACGGCACAATGACAATAACAGGAAACTTTGCAGCTCTGTGTGAAAACACATGTAAATAGTTCTTTGCGAATACAACAAGGGAAAAGTAAACTCTCACAAGGATAATACATCTTAAAGGAAACTTATTTGTGCTCTCTCTGTGCCTTTCCCTCCCCAGCAATATTGTCTAGGGCTAGGCATATGTAGCTAATCAATAACTGATGTAAATTTATCTAAAAATTCCAAAATGCCCTTTATCTTCTACATGTCCCTGTCAAATGCAAAGCAACGGCAGTTTCTTTGGGCCCCACGCTGCTTATGAGTTGACAGTTACAAAGGAAGAAAACAACACCATGTGGTTTACGGGACCAGTTGTAATAAGAGGGAAACATAATCTTGCAAAATATGAGTCCAGTAAATTCTGGACAGGAAATTGAGGGCGCTGTAATCTAGTTGTGAGCCTTCTATGAGCAGGAAATGAGGCAAAATTCACTAAATAGTTTAGTTCCTGCTAGTTATTAAAATGATTGAATGGGCATTCAACCTCTCTACTTTCCAAGAACCTCCCTGCCACCTTTGGAGATGAATATGAATCATCTGCTAAATGTCAGATTACTAAATGCACATAAATATTGTGTCTCTCTTATTATTATAGTGTTTTATCTTAGAAAGTTTCTATTCTCTTTCCAGAATCAGTGAGATAAGATTTTATTCCTGAGGTTACTAGTTCAGCAATATTTTGCCTCTAACAATAGCTAGCAAAGGAGGTGGGGGCCAGGAGGAGGAGGAGGTATAGTATCTCCTATAATATACTTTACTAGTTGTGCAATGCTTTACTTGAGAGAGAAAAAAAATCCCTTTCTGTTACCTAAGGTCTTCAAGTTAGATCATGAGGTCCAGGATTTTTTTCCTCATCTGAATGTTACAGCCCATTTGTATCTCCTCTGCATGTATCTATTAGTCTGCAAACTGCTATAGAGAGGGAAGGCGATTAGCATTTTCAAATACTTAGGGGTGCCTGTACATGTTTGGGGAGGCTGCTCCGACATGCTGTAATTACAGTGAGTTGGAGCAGACTCAGTGAATCAAGTCTGCTGGAATGTGCTAATTAGCGCGCACCAGCCAGCCTCCGCGCCTTGTGTATCAGCATCCTGGCACTTCAACTAAAACTCTTTCGACAAGCTTTAGTTAATGCACCCCCACCACCATTTTGCATCGTGGGGACGCTGATACACAAGATGCCGCGGGCGCTTTAATTAGAGGGGCTCTTGGACCCACTCTAATTAAAGCATTTCCCAGCCCCCCCATGACCCCTGGAGCACGTGTAAAAATGCCTAACGTTAATCACCTCCACCTATATTTAAGCAACTAAATCAGACCCCAACCCAGCAAAGGTTAACCCCAGAATTAATATGCATTACAAATGCCCTTTCTGTGCATACAGCTATTATAGCCCTCAATTATGTGGGCTTTGCTCTTTTCTCAAGTTCTCACAGCTTGTGCATTTATATATGAGGGCTCTGGGTTCAATATCCCATGTGCTGTCCAATAAAAGACCGTCACAAAAACACTCAGGCATATGCAAAATATAAAGAATCTGTGTAATGTCACTGGAGTTAATAAAGGCTGATTTTCAAAGATGCAGAAACTCTGCATTTATGTAACAATGGGAGTGGTGCCTCCTGTTTGACTCTTCCAGACATCACTGCCTGGTGAGCCCTAAACGTGTATTTAGATGTGTGACTTTGGATTCCTAGATCTGACAATCTGAACCTGGGTCTCAGGCTTCCAGAGTGCTGAGACAGACCATTTAAAAAGCTCCTGTTACAGATATTAACAGAGTTTATGAGGAGGAAATAATGGCAGATTGCTTGTAAGGCTAACTTCTGTGAGTGTTTAGCTGTTATGGCTCTGGGGCTGGTCCCACATGAATCTCCCCCATGTATGTTAATGAAGCAAATAAACTTTCAATAAAATTCACAGGGATGAGGAAATCCTGCTATAGCATCTAGGCCAAATTCAGACAATCTTGAAGGGGGAAGCATAAATGAAAGCCCTTTGCCATACACTATAAGCAAGAAGCAATATTAAAGCTGTCACACCCAGACTTAGGACCCATGAAGATCACTTTTATTTGGTGGCTGAAACCCAAATGGATGTGGAGATGTAACCTAACATCATCTCATCTCCAGATACAGCTGTCAACTGTTTGTGCTTATGCGCTATGGACCTTCTGGGGGACTGGAGCAATTTTTACCCTAGGACTTTCTGCTTACTGAGCCCAAGTCACTAGCTTTGAAATCTGCAAATAAGCCTGGCCTTTGGACTGGCTGTCCCATCCTTGTGCATGTGACAGGCCAGATCCTGTATACGGAGTCTCACTTTGTTTTTTTCCAACTAGGGGAAATGAAATAGATAAACAGTTATATTTTAAAAGATGCTGAAAATCTACATATAACACATCTACATACTTTTTATATATATAAATAAAAATGGGTGATGGGCTGAAAAATTACTTGACAAATGCCAAATTCAAACTTATCTATCTACCTATCTACCTATCTAATTAAGTTTGAATTTGGCATTTATCAAGTAATTTTTCAGCCCATCACCCATTTTTGCCAATGAGAGCAAGTCTTGGGCTTATGAAAAGTTTAGTGGCTTCATATTAATTCCCACATGTGCCCACCTGCAAATGGTTACACCACATCAATCCCAATAAAAAAACAAGGCTTAGTCAGACAGAATGCTATAAGTCTGAAATTATATCATTTTTCTCTGCTTCAAGCAAAGCAACACAAAATCTTCAAGCAGATGTTAAACAGGAACTACATAAAAAATGGCAACTCCACTCATTTAGGAATCTAGGGAAACCATATGTATAGTCTAGACACAAAATAAATTCCCAACTTTTATGTGGGCCTGGAGCTCTGGGACAGCATCTCTCTTTGCACTCACCGTTGAAGTTCACACTACGTATGTACTTCAGCAGCTTCTTGCCTCCTGCTTGTTCCATCTCCGGACAAACTCCCGGGTAATCAGGACAAAGATCCTTGTTCATATGATGGAGGGCATGAGCCATGGCATACACAGCATCAATCACAAACTGAACTTTCCCCTCTTGCTCATAATGGGAGTCCTTTCCAATTCTCTCCTGCCCTGCACAGGAAAACAAACAGACACACATGCACAAACACAAATGATTGAGGGAGAATCATTGCTGATACAACCTAAAGGATGCTCGGGAGAATTCACTTATATGCTGACTGTTAATGTCACCTGAGGCAGCAAAGTATGCTTACATTAATGATGAACCCCTCTTTTCCTCCTCTTGTACGGAGTAAAGGGTCCTTCATATGCCATCAAAATATTTTTGCAAAATAAGGGCTTAGCATAAGGATTCCAAAACACTGCAGTCTATTGCTCTCACTAAAATACCACCAGGGGGGAAACTAGTCATTTTTAAAAAATTATTACTGCTGATGTTTAATTATTTATTATATGTATTATACTAGCATTAAAACAGAGACGAGAACTCCTTTAGTGTGTTAGGTGCTGCATACATTCTGCCCCAGGTCTCTTTATACTGCATCTGTGACATCCAAAACTCACCTCCCGGAGTAGATGTGTACCCACTTGTTCCCACTCTACAAATAACAGAAATGAGGCAGTGAAGCTGCCCTGAGGATACTTTCAACTGGCACTCTCAAGAATACTGTTTCCAAGTGAAATTGAGCATGATGGTAGAAGATACCCTCAGGGGGCATGTCCCCATATGCAGGGGTATGCATTTTCCATAGCACAAACAGCAGCAGCATATATTTGTGTTGCTCCTTTGTGCCCTAGGGCACACCCCTGCATGCACACTCTGGCACATACCTAATTGTCCTGGGTGGGACAGGGGAGGCTGGGACCAACAACTGTGCTGGACCCAGCAGCCTTAACTGGGAGCCTCCTGGGGCAGCAGCGGCACCAATCTGACTGTACAGAGCCTGGTCGGCAGCCAGAATATGGTTCGGGAGGGCCAGGCTCTGTTTCTGGTGGCACATGTTGCTGCCGCATGCACCACACCATTTTTTTGACACTGGGTTCTCCCAGTGTCAAATTTTGGCACTGCACTGCAAATTAGCAGCACGGCAAATGGTTGCACGTGCACCACGTGTGGTTTGCAGCACCTCAAACAGCTTTGAGGCACCACAGACTCCATGTGTGCCCTCCTCTGGACACACCCAGGTTGTCTTTCCTATCTTATGTCTAGTGTGGTGTACAGGGAGTGAGAGGAGGTAGGTGGGCATACTTTTTGGCACTGCTCTTGAGAGCACTGGGGTAGTAGTAGAGAAATGTTCAAAATAAATCTGAAGGAGAATCAAAATCAAACTAAAAAATTCAGAGTACTAGTCCAATGCCTTAACCATTTCTCTTCTTTAACGGTAGCAAACTGAAATGAGTAAATAGTATGCAGTTATGAAACAGAAAACAGTGCTTTTTAATCCAAAATACATAAGATCAAAACTAAGATGAGTCAAAAAACAGAAATATATTCACCCAACGTATTATATGATTAATATAGATCACATTTATTACAAGATTAAGTCAATGAATACTATCTGACTGGCACTAAACAAAAACAGTAGGTATATGTACACACACACATATATACATACATACACCCTCCCCCACCCCAACACACACACACAAATATAATATATAAGGGACAGTGTTGTCTCTGGGGGAAGCAAAACAGTATTATGTTCCAAGTCTCTTGGGTTTTATTTCCAGATCTTGCAAGTCTAACTTTTTGTTTAATATTGGGCAAGCAACACCTGCAGGATTCAATGTGTCCAGCTGCAAAATGTGTGATTATACTCACCTATCCCACCAGGGCTTTGTGAAACATAATTACTGGTTGTTAAGTGTTCCAAGATGCCTTGTAAGAAGCTAGAGAAGTCCAGTATATTTTTAACAGCTGGAACATTGCAAGCCACTTATTCAGTTATCTGCTAGACAACACCTTTTTTCAACTGTAGGTCATTCTGCAGCCATAAAGGGTCCTGATCATGGAAAGAGCTCAGTGAAACCAGATCCCACCAACAATTCTCACAATAACCCGAAAACTAATAATTTAGGTTTGGGGCTTAAGAGAAGAAAATACAAATTCTATCATCATCTTCAATTTGAAAGAGGCACCAATGGTGAAGCCATTCAGCAATTGTGCTTAAATCCACTGATACCAGGAGGAAAAAAAATCACCCTGGTAATGAGTTTTGGTGAGAAGAATGAGTTCCCCATTTGTACATTTCTGCTCAAATCACATTCTTACATATTCACTTGTTACATTAACTATATACTGGAACCATACAGGGTTAGTGAAGCAGTTTTTACCACAATAGAGCCATTTTCTTGGCTGTAGATTCAAGATAATTTGAGCTACCGAGGCAGCTCTAATCAAGCAGGAACGATACGTTCTTGTCATTCTCCTATCAGTGCTCATCTTTTCTATTAAGTCTGTAAGTTCTTGGGACAGGAACTCTCAAACAGTGTATTTGCCCAGCATCTGATACACCTGGGACACCTTTTTTGATTGGTTGACAGGTGCCACAACAATACTGGTAACCTATCATTAATTTCAGACTCACGGGTTTGTAGAAATCAATATATCCCAGGCAAAATCCTTTCATTTTCCTTACTTCTGCACAGAGAGCAGGGGGTGAGGGAAACACTGAAAGGCTGACATGTGACTTTACTTAAACATCAATTATGTTCACAGCCAATCCATAGTTTAAAGACAAGAACAATGAATAAATAAGTAGGTAGAGGACTGCAAATGAAAAAATCATGAATAAACACAAGGACGAGGATCACAAAGGGAGCCCTTGTATATGTAGCAAATTATCTGCAGTGACCTATTCACTCAGCTTTTTTGTGGCCAACAAATATGCATTTCCCCCACATACACTTTCAATTATGTGGATTTTTTTTTACTTGTTGCTTCACTAAGTGCTAAACAGCAAAACTCCAATCCATGCAATCTGGATATCACAGTTTAAGAAATGATCTGGCACAAAAGCTCAGTTACAATTCAGAACTAAATTAGCAACACCAAATTCCTTGCAAATAATTCAGCAGGGTAAAATGGGTTCCAGGTTTTGAAGATTTACCTACTGTCCTTTTATATCACTCCACTCTCCTTTCATTGATTACAGACCACATTACATTTTCAGACCTACCAAGGAGGAAAACGCTTTTAAGTGCCCTTAGCTGAGCTACATAACCAAATTAGTAATGCAATGGGAAGGGATGCCAAGGAAAGCAATCTTAGAATTGAAACTCTGAACACAAACAATACTGATTAAGCATATTAAGTGCTAGAAGCATATGTGACCAATACAGAGGAGGGGGGAAAAATCCTTTAGCAGCTAAGATAATAGCGGAAGAAGACAGAACAAAAATCCATGAAACAAAGCTGCACTAACAATGTGAAGATCTGAAAATAATAAAATACAATCAATAATAAAATATGTTTTAGAAAACCTGGTGGAACTTTTTGATTACCCATGTATCCCATATGATCCAAACTTATAGAGCTACACATACATAATAGCATGTGCATCACTGCATGTGCAGTTTTTGCATACAAGTTCGTCTGTTGATGGAAAGTTGAGTGGCATTTTAATAGGAAATAGGCACATCTTTGGGATACATTTTCAAATCTAAGGTCTATTCTGAAACGCCCACAGCATCAGCAGAACAATATTTTATACTTATGTAGACCTCCTTCCATTCATTTTACAGTAAATGACCTTTAAAATGTAGCTGCTGTTCATTTTAATCCACATGTATATATGGTTTAGACATGAGAGAGAGAAACACAACTTAAAAAGATTTGCACTTTTTTGTTGGTAACAAAGCACAACTTAGAAAAGACCCCATTGTTCACAACAGCATGGTCAAGACTTTTATTTAGTCCCCAAAATTCAGAGGTCTGTACTACAGGAACAAATACAGACTGAAAAAAAAATACAGTAGAAATGCAGAAAGAAGTACTAGATGAGCGCATCTACACATTGCCAACATTGGAGATGTTGCTATGGCACCATGCTTTAGTATGGGTGATCACTGTGCTGTACATGTGGCGCACAGTTAAATTTCACCGCTACATCACTCTAGCTGTGTGCTATACCTTGGAAGTGCACCACTATGGTGAGGTTGCTGGCACTCATGTGTACAGACACATGATTGCTGTGTCCCCACAGTGCACCATATCACAATGTAGGGTGACATACAGGCACACCCAATGAATACTTTTTATACAGCTAAACAGCCTTTTGAAATGTTCAGCTTTCAAAAGTCGTAGTGACCTTATCATGTAGTGTAACATGTTATGTTATTTAATGTAACACAGGTAACTTATATATAAATGATACCGCTATGTGTTCAAATTGCTGCTGCATCACTAAAAACTTCTTTATGAATTTGCGAAATTTTTTCCAGTTGGAGCAAAGTTTCCATTTGAACAAGCAAAGGTACAAACACCTGCAGTTGCTTTTGCTTTATTAATGCTTTAGCCTTAAAACCACAACAAAATATATCATACTTTTTTTTAACAAAAGAGCCTATATAATTAATGCCAATTGCTGCCATTGTTGGTGCCATAGGTATGTAAGAAAAAGTCTGAAGGAACAGGGAGCCTGAAATACTCTGTCCCTCATACAGCCAGTCCCCCTACTCCTAGGTTAGCCCTTGAAGGAAGCAAGAATACTTGCATTAGTGGCTGGAAAATGACCTTCAAATACTTACAACACTTCCCAGATAATGTTCATAAATATTACAAATTATAATAATGTTACTACTTAGACAGTTTGGGGCAGCCCTGCGATTTTTTAAAATTGTATTTGTTGTTGTTTTGCTGTCTTGTCTTATTGCCAGTAATAACTCAGGCACAGAAATAAAGGTAGAAAATATGTTCCATTTTTGTATCAAAAGTGTGTACGGCCATGAGGAAATACTTTTCATATTTTAAAGTCACTTCTACAATCTTCATATGTTCATTTCTCATTCGAGGATAGTTTCCACTTTGAGATGAAAATAAGCTCATTCTTCTTCTTTGCTTATAAAAAGCCCTGGATGATGCCGACTGCTACCTCAGATAAAAATGTTAT